ACCTACCATCTCCCGTTCCCAAATCCAACAAAAACAAAATACACCTCCCGCTCTTGAAACCCTCTCTCCCGATATTCAACGACACCACATTTGCAGCAAATTTCAATAAAAGAGTCCGAAGTTTAGCCACCCCGAATTTCCCGGCCAATGTGCCTCAGAAGATTGGCAGGAGATTCTTCTTCACAGTGGGTCTAGGAATCATGGGATGTCCACAGAGCCAAACTTGCCAAGGTCCCAACAACACCAGGGTAGCAGCAGCGGTTAACAACGTGTCCTTTGTGATGCCAACCACGGCCCTCCTTCAGGCTCACTTCTTCAACCAGAACAACGGCGTCTACACCACGGATTTTCCAGCTAATCCGCCCTTCAATTTCAATTACACCGGCACTCCACCTGCCAACATTATGGTGAGCAGCGGTACAAAAGTTGTGGTCCTTCCATTCAATACGAGCGTGGAGTTGGTGCTGCAAGACACCAGCATAATAGGGGCCGAAAGTCACCCTCTCCATCTGCATGGTTTCAACTTCTTCATCGTGGGTCAGGGAATCGGAAACTTTGATCCCAAGAAAGATCCAGCCAAATTTAACCTTGTTGACCCGGCAGAAAGAAACACCGTTGGTGTTCCATCTGGGGGATGGATCGCAATACGCTTCCTTGCTGACAATCCAGGCATATATATATATATAACTAATTATGTGGATCATTAATGCTTTCCTACAACTTCAATTTTCATAAGTTTTTTGCACTATGTTTGATTCATAAAGATGCAAATTGTGTTGCAGGTGTTTGGTTTATGCATTGTCACCTGGAAGTTCACACGAGCTGGGGTTTGAAAATGGCATGGATTGTTCAGGATGGAAAGGGCCGAAAACAGAAGCTGCCTCCTCCACCCTCGGATCTTCCCAAATGTTGACCACCATTTTCCGTCAACTTTTTTTTTTTACAAATTTTTTAGTTTACAAATTATTTTTTGCTTTTGCTGATGTTGCTTTGCATGCTCTCATTTTATTTACCCACTCAAGAAAGACATTGGTGGAATAGGAGATTTTGTAAAGGTACATGCCGATGGCCCTGTAATGCACCTATTGTTATTTGTGTACTTGCTACAGAAAATTTACGCACAGGTTCTTGGTTACTTAGCCGAGTATATGCATTTTTATTCATAAAGTAACTTTTGCTTAGCAGATAAGGTGACTCATTACCAACCTTTTGCGTAAATGGTAATGCAATAACAATCTCAAAACAGCACTCACCAAATCAAAGAAAGTTCCCACTAGGAGCAGGGGAGTGAAACTGAGATTAGTATTCATCAGGACGAAACATCCTGCCTACTCCCGATGCAGGCGGCCGGCCGAAGTCTAATGCTGTAATGACTTGCTCAAAAGCAAATCAAAAGAGAAAAGAAGTTTTTTTTTTTTTATTGCCTTTTTTCCCTTGTCATTTGGCTTCAAGATGGGAAATGGTTATTCTGTTTTTAGTTAAAGTTTGACTGTCAGATCGAAATGTGAGATTCTTAGTTAAAATCTGACTTTGAGGCTGCTCTAATTACCAATATTTGCTCGACAAAAGAAGAATAGAACAAGAAGAAAGGGGGGATTTTAATTATTTTTACCGTGCAAGATTCAATAGGTGATTCCTTATTAGATGTGGAGTGATCGTACCGCCCTCTCCTCTCGGTATTTCGGACAAAACACGACAACAAGATAAGGAGAGTGTGAAATGGGAAAGTTATGCTGTAAAGATAGGTACGTAATGCATTTAACAAGTTGGAAAAAGAATTTTCAAAAAAAAAACAAGTTGGAAAAAGAAAATTAATTTTCATGGGGGCAACGTCATACAACCAATAATTCACAGGGGCTCAGTGTATTTTGTCCAATTTCTCTATATTTCAATTTGAAAATATATAAGCTAACCCAAAATCATCTACATCAAGTAAACTAATGGAAAAACGTGAAATGGAAAAGGCAAAATATCAGAGAGTCAAAAATTGAAAAAATAGATAAGATTCCTTCTAAATTAGAGTGAGAGAGAGAGAGAGAGAGAGATAGATAAGGAACCAGAGAAAGTATAGCGCTATCATGCAAACAGAAGCCTTTCAAAGGATTTAAAGGGAGGACGAGAAAAAAGGCAAGAACGAAATCAAGTGGAAGACAACAGGGTGCTACAGTAAATATTTTTTTACTACCGATAATTTGTTGAGAAATAAAAAGGTTAAAGCCCAAGCAAGAACCTAATCTCATGAGGAAAAATCGTTCAAAACATCTCTTATATTTCATTAAATGAATTTTTTCGTTCAATACTTTTAAAATATTAATTTTACATCTCTCACAAATTCAAATTGATAAAAGTTGATTTTAACTTAAATTTCTGACCACTTTTTCACCTATAATTACCACATACCTTATATGCAATCATTTTTTATGTATAAAAAAAACTGGATACCACTTTTTTAGTGACAAAAATGATTATGGATTGGATCAGATTTCACTTTTTATAAGAAAAATAAATATTGTTTAGGCTGGATCCTACCTTTTTTAGAACAAAAAATGAATATTAATTGGGTCATTTGTTTTATTAGAAATAGGATCAAACTTTTTTGCTCAAAAAAAAAAAAAAGAATATGCATGGTTCACGTGATGGATTTAAGATTAAAAAAAAGTGATTGAAAATCTAAATTGGAACCTAATTTTATCGAGTTAATTTTTTAAAAAATTTAAAGTTATTATTTTAAAAATGAAGGATGAAAAATTTTATTTAATTAAATGTAACGTTTTAAATATTTTCCTATCTTATAAAGTGTCAATACTTATCATGTCCTCTTCTGTTTGCTTTCACTTTTTCTTTTTGTAGATTTAATGGATGTTGCCAGAGTAATTGTCAACATGCAGGACGTATCAATTAACTACGGAAGTAGGGCTGACTGCGAACCTACTCGTTAGCAGTTCAGGCAGCCACTCAACGCGAACGCGGGTTGACTGAGTGTAAGTCGGAACTTCGCTATTTTGTTGGAAAGCAAGTTGAGTTTCGAGCCCAAATATATGCTACTCGACCTCGACGAACTATTTACCCCTGGGCCAATGGCTCAGTGGCAATTAGGGAGGGGTTTAAATCCCTCCTTGACTGTAGGTAAGAATTTAAAATTTATCTGCAGTGAAAAAAATTTAAAAATTATGTCAAAATACTCTCTTAGTTTAGTTGAGTCTGTATATCCAATTATATTAATCTTCACTTGACACATAATTCACATATCAAATAAATAGAGTTCAAAAATAAAAATAAAAATAAAAATAAACGAAAATCACTTTCTTCTATTTCCTTGTTTCCATCATTTTTCTTACTCTTTTTTTTATGACGATGCAATATTTTATTTGTAAATTATAATATATTGAATTTTGTTTATCTTTTATTTTTTGTGATTGTGATAAAGTGGGGTATGATTTATTTGCTTATTTTGAGTTAATTTTTATAATGGTTGATACAATTGAATGGTTTGGGTAAGAGTTGAGAAGATGTTGAAAATAAATATAAGGTTTATAAGAAATTGATTTTGAGCATATAGAATTAAATTGGTGCAAGTGTATTTCTTTTCAAATATCTTTTTATTTTTTAAATTTATATTTTTATGGGATATAGCATTATGATGTGGTGGTACTACAAGAGATTATTTTTTAGATGATAATGTTCTTGAAGTGAATAAAGTGGTTTAGAAATATTTAACAAATGAAATGGTAGTTTAAGATTTCACATAAATAACAAAAGTAAGGGAGGTAAGTGATATTTTCAAAATCTTAGAGGTGCCAGATGATATTAAAAGAAATCTCAGGGGAGATTTTTATCCCTATATATTTTAAAATACGAAATTACCACTAAGGGTTTATGCTTTCAACTAATTTACAAGTTGGTTTGTATAGTTAATAAAATTCTTTAATGACAAAAAGGCAATAGAATTTGAAGTAGATATAGTTCAATTTCATTCTCCAGGTTTTGAACTTGAAGATTCAAAAATGGAATATGATCAAACTTTTTTGCTTGAAAACAGCATCAAGTACTTAAACACAATATGCTTTGATCTTCACCCGAGCCCTATCAAATTGAGTTTGAGTTTTTTTACCATTTCAATGAATTGAGTTCAATCATCTATTCTGGAACTTGAGTTCGAGTCAAGTAAGGTGTCAACAATGTTTGAGTTAAATTCGAATATAGCACTACTTAAATTCGATTCGACCGGTATATGTTCCTACTACGGAGTAATATTTACCAATTTTAGATTTATTTTTTAAAAATTAAAACTTGAGTCGTCGGTGTCAGAGCCCTTTTGGAGTCCTCAAATTTTTTTTTTTCAACTTGTCGGCAAAAGAATAGTTGATGCTTCCTACGAATGCAAGGGCCAATTAGAGCGAGGGGCAATACGAAAATTCCAGACCCAATTTCCGTTCTCCACCGGCCCCACCCCAGCCCACCGCGACATCTAGATCACCCCAAGTCCCAACCGGCCCACCGCTTAACCATTTACCCTTTCCTATTCGAATTAGTGGTTAATGACTTAATGCAAAGGCTAACAAAATGCGGTAAACGTACATTTCAATTCAAGAAATAAAACCCAGCTGGTACGCACCGGTACCGGAGACACCGTCGTAAGTCTCATTACGCCGGTGTCTCGAGCAGTCCATCCTCCTTAATCCACCTTTCCAAAGTTGAGCAACAGCTGAGGAGGGGAGAGAATGAAGCGCGGCTGCAGGTTCTCATTTCACGTCTGCGTCATAGTAGCTGCCATTGTTTACATTTACTTCTCCACGGTCTTCATCTTCATAGATCAGTGGTTCGGACTCCGGTCTTCTCCCGGATTATTAAACGCGGCCGTTTTCACCTGCTTAGCCCTCATGTGTGTCTACACGTATGCTCTAGCGATCTTCACCGACCCAGGTCGGATTCCCGCCTCCTATGTACCGGACGTTGAGGACGCCGATACCCCTATGCATGAGATCAAGCGCAAGGTCACCAAACTTTCCTCTACATACCCAGTAGTATATGTTTGTGTAATATCTCAGTTTTTTTATTGTTTATATTCCAGTGCAAAGATTTAGGTAAAATTAACTTGGAAAAAAAAAGACTATGTCTTTGATGATTGATGTGATAATTCGGTTTCCCTTTTTTTCCTTTAATTGAATGTCAGTTAAAATTTGCAGCAATATGGCCGTAAATTAAAATAATCTCTAATTTTGTTGCTTTGTTGCCTGGCATTTTCTTGTAGTCTATGCCAGTGTCTGTGCTTTTGTTTTTCTTAATCTAAATCTTCTTTTCTGTGTTATAAATGTTGAAAAAATTATCGGATATTACTAATGTGATATTTTCTCAAACTGTTGGGGTTTTTCCATATTGGATCAGCATTGAGGTTTGTGGGGTACGAACTAGGTTTGGTTGTTAAGGGCTTCCTTGCAAGGATTGGTTTTGGACTATTGAGCTGATCATTGTTTGTGGACTGGCAGCAGCACAGCCGTGTAAATAGAGGAATTTTATGTTCTGTTTCTTCTTCTTCTTCTTCTTCTTCTTTTTTTTTTTTTCTTTTTCTTCCCCTAGCAGGCGAGGGTTGGAATTTAGGGAGCAGGATAGGGGAAGGGGGATTTGACCCAGAACCTCTAGATCCTGGGTCCTCAGCATCTGTTTTGTTTGAGAAAGTCCGGACTTTTGGGAATGTTATGTTCGTTTGAGCTACTTTGAATTACATAAATGCTAAACTGAAATTATTGATTATCTGGTGGCCATAGTGTCGTTTTTCATCTGGCTGTTGTGGTCAGTTCACTTTTTTGGTTTCTGTTATTCATTATTGACTCCAAGTATGCTTGATTTCTGCTTTTCTAACCTTGGGTTATCTGTGGTGAGGTTGTGATCTCACCATACAGCACCTCTTGTTTGCTAATTTCATAATGCTTACAAGGTTGTGGAGGAGGTACGTATTGATGTCGCATGGCTTTCTCTCTTTCGCATACTCCAGTATCACCATTGGGACTTTCTCTTTTGACATTGAAGTACGATAGATCATATGAATCCTGTTTTCTGTTATTTATTGCAGCTCGTTTTGGTATTATATCCACTGGCAGGTATGAAATTAGGATTGAGGAAAATGTCAACACAACCATAATATGAACTAAGATATAAGCCTAACATGCAATGAGTTTATTACTAATCAATAAGTTGGACTTGGAGCATAAAGTTACAAGCTTGACTTGAATTTCATCAACCTGACGATTTCCACTAACTCTTCTGCCAGGGTGGGGATTTGAGATACTGCCAGAAGTGTGCCCTCCATAAACCTCCACGTGCACATCATTGCCGTGTATGTAACCGATGTGTGTTGCGAATGGTATGCCTGGTCTATTTACTCTTTATGCCTTTTCTTGAATGTCCTGGATATTGCCTTAAAGTGCTACCTCTTGAATTTAAGGATCACCATTGCGTGTGGTTGAATAATTGTGTCGGCCATGCGAACTATAAGACTTTTTTCATCTTCATCGTTTACGCCGTTGTTTCATGCATATACTCCCTGGTATGTCAATATATCTCTTTCAGTTCAGTAAAAGATTCTTATTTTTCTTTTCTGTGCACGTGTTTCATTTTATTTACCTATTAGTCGACATTTAATTATTGTGGCCTGTGGTCGAACGTGCCTTAATTTGAATGCGGATTTTGTTTTTCTTACCCTCTCCTCCTTTTTTCTTCACCAAGTCTTCTGAATCTCTTTATTTGCTCTTTATTATTTCAGGTTTTGCTTTGCGGTAGCCTAACTGTTGATTCTATGACAGATGATGAGCAAAATGAAGGCTTTTTTAGAGCTGCATATGTAACTTCTTCCTGTATCTATATTTCAACAAGTTATAATTTTGCATATCCTTGCATTCAACTTGAACAGTTTAGCCTTCAGGTCATTTCAGGGCTCCTGCTGGTGCCATTGACTCTTGCGCTGACCATCTTTATGTTTTGGCATGTTTATCTTATTCTGCAAAACAAGACCACAATAGAGGTTTGCAAATGGTGGTGATCGTAATTTTTTTCATCTATCTGGCACCTGATCAAGTCTGATGACCACTTCCTACCTCTTTTACCGTACAGTACCATGAAGGTGTGAGAGCTATGTGGCTTGCTGAAAAAGGAGGTTATCTGTATTCACATCCATATGATCTTGGTGCTTATGAGAATATGATATCAGTGAGTCGTTTCTCTCTACTCTTGTTCTTAGTAGCAAATAAGAGAGCCTAGAGTAGGCAATTCATTTGGCTGATCAGATCAGGCTTTTTGTGCATAGAAGTTTACTAACTAATACTGTAGATATCATGGTACAACATGCTCTCCGAGATATGGTCTTAGCTTTCTAGGCATTTATACGTGATTTACTTGACTTGCAGGTTTTAGGTCCAAATATCTTTTGCTGGGTATGTCCCACCTCAGAGCAGATTGGTTCTGGCCTTCGTTTCCGCACGGGAGTTGATAAGTTAGCAGGGACATCATTTTAGGCGTATGTAGAGCTTGGAGTTTCAATGATTTTGTGCTGCTGGTAGTATTGGAGGAAAGGCAGCAGGTCCTATATCATTCGTTGATGATAATCAAATTCTGGTGTCCGCGAGCTTTCTTTTTGGGAATACAACCATTAAAAAAGAGTTTGTCTTGTGTAGCTCCTCAAACTCCACGTTGTTGCGGAAGTAGTCAAAGTTGACTGATTTCTGAAGCAGTCAGATGTAAAATAGGACCCTCATTCTTCTTATGACCCTTTTTTTCCAAAAGTACAGTCCTCATACAATCATGTACAAATGACAGAGTTCCAGGCTAACTCACAGCAACTTCAAGTAGAAGAGATAGGCCAAAAATTGTAACTTAAAGATGTTGTAATGTTGTGACTCTCAGGAAGTGTATGAACCATAATTGATGTTTTGATTGAATTTGTAGCAAAATTTAGGTCCGGCTGTGAAATGGGAGAGGTTGATATGGGGCTTCCATTTTCCTTTGTTTGATGAGCATCTGAAATGTGATTGATCACTGATGAATGCACTATGCCAGGATGGGGTGCTGTGTCATTCTATGCTGCGTTAATGGCAAAATCGGATTCCTTGGCCTTTTGATTCAAAAATTCATAATATCTTAAGCCGGGTGTATAAACCGATACTGATGCCATATGATCTAGTAATTGTAAAAAGACTTAACACATAATTTACAACATATCAAATAAATGGAGCTAAAAATTTTAAAAAAAATGAGAGTCACTTTCTTCCTTTTTCTTTTCTCCATCATTCTTTTCCACTCATACTTTTTGGATGATTATGTAATATTTTATTTGTAAATTACAATAAATTAAATTTTATTTATCTTTTACTTTTTGTAACTGTGATAAAGTGGGGTATGATTTATTTGCTTAATTTGAGTTGATTTTTATAATAATTGGCATAATTTAATGGTTTGAGTAAGGGTTGAGAAGATGTTGAAAAAAAAAATAAATTCATAAGAAATCAATTTTGAGCATATAGAATTAAATTGATACAAGTGTGTTTCTTTTTAAATATCTTTTTTATTTTTCAAATTTATATTCTTTTGTGGTACAGCATTGTGATGTTGTAATACTATAAGACATTGTTTTTAAGGTGATGGTTTTCTTGAAATGAATAAAGCAGTTCAGGAATATTTTTATTTAACAAGTGAAATGTTGCTTTAGGGTTTTTAAAAATTTTGTTACACAAATAACAAAAGTAAGGGAGGTAATTGATATTTTTAAAACCACAGGGGAAACTCAGTGTAGGTTTCTGATATTATCCAAAATTAAAATTCAAAAAGGTTAATTAAGAGAAGGAAAAAGAAAGGAGGTAATAATTTCTTGTTCCTTTAAATAACCATTGTCAAACAACTATTAATTAATTCACTATCGCATCCGCGCGGACGGAGTGAAGGGATGGCGAGGGAACTAACGGTAACGCTAGGCAGAGTGAGCAGTTGGATGGATAATTTTTTTTTTTTTTTTTTTGGATGGATAATTGTTTCTTTTCTTTTTCTACAAAAAGTCGGATGGGACTTCATGGGAGTGAATGCATTTGCGTGACACTAACTTGTAATTTGACATTCTCTCCCCCAGCCAGTATAGCATGAAAACTCTGCCAACCATTCTACAAATTTTTGCTTAGATGGACCGATTCATCTATATTATAATCTACTGGTGAAATAAATAAAGTTCAAAATTAAAATATTAGAAATTAGAGATATTGAAGGGTTTTTTTTTCTTTTTGATAGTTTTGAATCTAGTCTAACTATTTATTAGTGTTCATGAATTAGTTGTAGATTAGTAATATTGATCCAACTTTTGTGGCTCAGCGGTAGTTTTGGGCGGAGTTTCTTCAAGAAAACACATTTGCCAACAGACGATGGAAGATTTATCTAATCTTTTTAACACCATTTTTGCTTTGCTTTATGTATGTTGTGATTTTTTTCGGGCGCTAGGGGTTGTTTTGCCTTTTAAAAAGAAGTTGCTCTGGCAGGAGGTAAATCTGCTCTGGCAATAGGGGCAAGGCAGGCCCACAGACATGGTCCCGTACTTGTGTTTTGCCTATGAATCTCTACATGAATCTGACTGGTGGCCAATGGATACACAGCATTAAAATAATAATAATAATTATTATTATTATTATTACTATAAAACAATAATGTAATCTGATGCATGATTGGATGTCCATGTCAGATGGCCCGAACAGAAATTATCTAACTCTTGCAGTGGTGCTGTTCACGGATTCATCACTATCATTGAACTCTTCACTTTCCTTTATGCACTGTCATAAATTTCGCTTTGTTTCTTTTAACTCCGATTTCGGAGTTCTAATGGAGGAGAATGTCATCTGCACAACGGAAACCAACAGGTTTGATTTCCATTTGTGGTTTCTTTAATTGTTGTACCCTTTTCTTTCCTACTGTGCTTATTGCCTTTGTTTAATCAGTGCTTTGTGATTCCTCTCTTTCTCTTCCCCGAACATATCTTGGTGCAAGCATGTACAAAGGAAGCTCCTTTGGATAAAAGCCTTGAGCTTGTTCAGCACTATAAGCACAAAGTTGAGGGAGCTATTTAATTGTAGTCCTAAATCTTGCAAGTTGAGCTGTGTCTTGGTGAACTGTTTCTTGGTCGGATTCGTTGAAAATTTGTTGTTGGGATCGAGAATTTATCATGCTTCTGCTGGGTTGGGTCTGGGGTTTGGAGATATGAATTTTTGTTGGACTGAAGTTAATCGATCAATTGTTTAATGATGTGAATGCTGTGAGTGAAAGGAAGAGTGAAGGTTTAATCCCGACGGCCGGATATTTACCAATTAATTGGCGTTGATGATTTCCATTTTGGTGACAAATAACTTATACTAGCCGATATGTGTCTTACCATATGGCACCAGAATGGAAATCATCAACTTCAATTAATTAAACCTTCACTATTCTCACGTTATATGGAAATCGTCAACTTCAACTCATCTTAAAGCATATCAACGTGAATTCATATCAGTGCCATTTTCCGTATCAGCTTTCCTATTGAAATTGCTCCTTTACCCCAACATTGTGCTTTAAACATGTCCGCAACCTCCGCGTCTTTGGAATGAGATTTCGAGGCTTTTCTTAAATGTTGGGGAAGTTTACTGTCTGTCAAAAACGAATACGATTCCTTTTATAAGATATTTCCTGAGTTTCCATACTTGTTTAATGATAAATTCAGAATTTTACTGGTCTTGTTGCATTATCTTAAATGGAAATGGGTTGAAAATTTTCTAGATTGATCTAGAAGAATGATGAACAATGTTGCATTTGAATTTACGATAGGCATTGACAGGTGAATTTTTGAATTTGGCTGCATAATCTTGAGCGGAAGAAAGGACCAATATATTAGACCTTAAAATAGCTTGTGCAACCATTTTAAATTCATGCTGTTCCTTGAAAACCAACGGTGGGGTAACAGATGCAATTTTTTTTAATATGTAAATCAAGAAGATGAAGAAGAAGGTTCAATCACAGGTTGGTTGCTGAAGATTGTTATGTAGCATTGATAAGTGGCCTTACATATTTGAGTGGTCTTGAGGTCTGTAGTATGATGATGCGTAGGTGTAACCTCTTTTTTGCTTTTCTTCCCCCATCTTTTGAGGTGGTATAGCTAATTCATTTAAGGTCTCTAGGAGGTGCTATAAATGCAATGCTTTATTTATCTTAGTTCTCAAGCATATAATTCAAACTAATGCTGACTTACCCTACAAGGAGACTTGCCATGCTTATGATGTTACTATTGAATTTTGATCTTCCTCGATCATTCTAGTTCACCTAGCTACAATTTGATAACAGAGCTGTCCAAATCACATTGCTCCTCTTCTCATGCTTGCATGAGCTGACCAAATAGCATTACAAAATCTAAATGGGAAGAGATTGACTCCTTTTTTTTTAACCCTCGTTACAAGCTTCCATATCCAGTTTTCCTCACAATTTTCACTCTCCCAGTGTTCCGATTGAGGAGTTGTTTCAAACCAGCATTCTTTTCATGGATAGGAAACGGAAATTGCAAGCAGAAGAATTAGGCACACCTCCACCAAAGCTTAAATGGCTAAGTCGAGGCTTTGCTTCAGAGTATACTTTTCCTGCTAATGGTGACTCAGATGTAATAGATAAAGGGGAGTTAAATGGAATGTCAACTGCTGAGGAGTCAGAACAAGAGTCTGCCAAGATAGTAACAGTATTGCTGCCGATGCTGACTCGAGCATTTCTGTGTCTAATGAAACTGAAGTAGGAGCTGGTCATGGATATTTCAAAGAATATTCATCTGACAAGCCTATAAATTCTTCTGTTACCTGCGGAGGCAATTGTTCTAAGCATGCCCAAAATTCTTCCAAGAGCAGTTTCATAATGAAATCAAGTTCCCATATTCTGGAATCACCATCTGCTGGCAAAAAGCATGATTTTCTCTATCATGATATAGGCCTGAAGTCATCCCTGAATTATGAGGAGCACCTCCTGGAATTTGGAAGTCACAGCAATTGCAGCTGTCTAGAATGCAGAGCTAGTTTTGAAGGATACACAGACAAGGAACTTGAAGAAATGCTTTATTCTAATGGAGCGACTCCAAATAATTATGTTCTTTCTTCTGAAAGATGGACTCTAAACCAAGGTAACCACGTTAAGCCGAAAGACCATTCTTCTCATGTTTTATTTTGTCAACATTTTGAATGCTAGGTCTTTGGTGATCATGTAACTTGAACTGTCTTATTTTGTTCCTTTCTGCCTATATCATTTCTTTATTACAGACCAGCATGCACTTAACGTGAAATTTTTTACATTATCTGAATGCAGATACTCAGCAAGGCGCCAAGAAATTAACCATTGATAAAGAGTTCGAGCAGTACTTTTCCATGCTTATGCTGTGATCCAGTTCTTTTGAACATGAGCAGTTTATGTACATTATTTAATAATTGATGTTTGTATGTATTTACTAACAGACGAATGAAGCTTCTCATTTTAATCCTTTCTTTTGTCCATTTTTTTTTGCATTTCAGCTTTTTCTTAGATTGGTTGATCATGTCATCCTTTGTTTCGAGTATTTGTAGTTTTGCTATGCCAGAATGATAGCATGAAACAAAAATCTTTTCATACAAAGTTTTCCACTTCAATTCTTCAGAAAACTTTTTTGACTGCAGGGCTTTTATATGTGCTTAACATTTTGGCCTGTTCTCTTTTTGTTTTTCTGTCCTCCTTAAATCTTGTGAATAAATTTCAAATTCTTGTCATTTATCATGCTTTTTGGACCAGTCTTGTACTTGATTGGTTTTTGACACGGTGCTTCATTTGATGCTTTATTGATTTTCTTAGATTCAAGTGGCCTTTTCTTAGTTGAATTTGAATTTATGCAGAGGAGACAAATTTGGGGTTGACAACTTATGGTGGAATTGCAAGTTTTTAGTTACTTACTGGTGCATGTGCTGTGAATTGCAGATATTGCTTAAAAAAATTGTGTTTTTCTCACTATCAATTTTAGCTTTTTCGGAGATGAATATTCTTCTGAGCCAGGTACTTTCTATATCTTTTTCTTCCTTTTCTTTTTGCATCTTTTTTCATGATAAGCCAATCACACTTATTGTCTTCCAACAGACTCGTATGTTTTATTTTTCACGGGCCCCCATGCTAATTAATGGTGTTGATGTTCTTTGAACAGATGAGAATATTTCAATACTTTTTTACTTGCAATTCCTTTCTTGCAGAGATTGACAAAACAATGAGGTAATCCAATAAGAAGTTCATTTAGTATTTGGCAGTAGGGTAACTTTTGATTCATTGACAATATTTTTTAGTCAGCCTCATAGCTTTAAATCAGTGTTAGTATTGTCGCTCTAATGCAGAATTTCATAAACCGTTGAATTTCTGGAACAGCTTCAACTACAATACTAATAAGAGTTCCAAACTTTTTTGCATGAGAAGATGGTTCATCTCCAATGAAATAGAACCTTAAGATGAAGACATGAAATGACATAGAAATGTTCTCAGTTCACCCCTGGTAGAGACGTGCTTCAGACTTCAGCAATACTTGTTTCAGAAGCACAAATTAATTTACAGCATGAAAACGGATCCTTGCAGTAGGGAGCTTGACAAATGACATGGAATGATTCCAAACCCTAATGTATCGTATGACTTGGTTTATTGCACAGCTTTCGTAACTGGCTAACAAAAATAACATGCAGTTGAAAGGCATTGTCTCATAATTGAACAAATGAAGCAAATTTATGGGGCAGAAAGTACAACAAAAACACTCAAGGAAAATTGTAAATTAATGGGACCCAATCAGCATGATGGAAGATCTGAAGGAGGTGGTGGTAATTTTTCATTAGGGAGGAACCCATTGAGTACAATCCATGCCATTCGCAAACCCCAACTTGTGTGCACGTCAAAGTGGCAGTGCATAAGCCATACTCCTGTTTGACAAGGTAAACAATCAGGACAAGTTAATTAGCTCAACAGAGAAAGATCAGTATAACCGCATGTCAATGTGTTTTGTTTAGTACTTGAAAATCCATTGATCTGGTCTGATGTTGAATAAATTTCTGGTAAGAGTTGCATCTTGTTTTTCATGCTAGGTACCTGGATTGTCTGCAAAGAACCGAATGGCGAGCCAGCCACCTGATGGAATCCCCACTGTATTCCTTTCCACTGGATCCACCAGGTTGAAGTTGGCAGGGTCCTTGTTTGGATCGTAGTTTCCAAACCCTTCCCCAACGACGAAGAAGTTGAAACCATGCAGGTGAAGAGGATGGCTCTCTGCCCCCAGAATGCTAGTGTCTTGCAACACTACCTCGACACTTGTATTAAACTGTAACACGACAGTCCGGGTTGCATTGGTAACTATTGTGTTATTAGGCGGTGTTCCAGTATAGTTGTATGGATTTGTGGGTTGAGTTGGGAAATCAGTGGTGAAAACACCATTTGATTTACCAAAAAAGTAGGATTGCAGGAGAGCTGTTGATGGGAGAGGAAAAGAAATATTGTTAACTGAAGCTGCAAATTTTGTGCCATTTGGTCCTTGGCAAGTTGTGTTAGCAGGGCAAGGACTTGTTCCAAGTCCTATGGTGAAGTAAAAGCGCTTTTGAACGGTTTGTGGAACGTTTGCTGGAAATTTGGCTGTGGCTAAGCTACGGAATTTCCTGGTGAAGTTTGCAACAAAACTGGTGGCATTCACTGCAGGCAGGGTTGGGTTTACGACTGTTTTGTTTGCAATGGAAGCGTCGTGTTGGTATTCAAGGATCCGGCAACAGTGGAATTGTCAATGGTGCCTTGCCCTGTAAAGTAGGGTGCGGCAGCCATGATGAAGGTGGCAGTTGGAGAGGTTGGCTTGGTTTTCAGAAGCACATTGGTGGTCTGGCCTGGGGTTATAACAACTACATCAGTCTTGAACGGTTTGACGTATAAAGCATCGGCTTCAACAACAGTGACCGAATGGTTGGCTATACTAAAATATAGTTCGTCATTCATTGCTGCATTTATCAGGCGTAGCATGTACGTCTTGCCTGGTTGCACCTTCAACTTGAATGTATCTGGAAAGCAAACATGCCCGAAATGGATTTTAATTTCAAACAAGTCACATTGTCTTTTAAGGAAGCAAACAGGTATGGGAGAAGGCAAAATGCAAAATCTCCCCAGTATAACGTTGAAAGGTATTGATTGAACATCAAGTAGTAAGATTCTTTAGACTCGTATGAGATTTTGAAGGGCGGTCTTCCGTATTGATTCAGGCATAAGGAAGCTTTCAAACTTGATTTGGTTTAACTAAGTTCTTCAGCTTCGATTTTGTCTCAATCCAGTTGTCATTGTGCTTGCAGGTGTACAATGGCTGTACTAAATATAAGGGGGTTACAAATGAAGGATTAATTTTTCAATACAATGATAGTGTATAATTACATGTATGATAACTAATTTAAATTTTTTAAACATGTCTTGTATTCAATCTGAAAGTATATTCGTTGTCAGTGTATATATTATTACCTCAGAAATGAAATGCATTTTAGAGTTGGAGTATGATTCAAAAATTTTTGCAATATATTATAAATACATTTTCCTAATCAATTTTTTTTATCTTTACAGACATTTTTTTTTTTGATTTTACATATATTAGATAGTGTTAGGAGTGTTATTCCAATTTTTTTTAAAGTAATCTTCTACCGAAACAACTCACATTCAATGTTTGCTTTTTATCAAAAAAGAAAAAAAAAATCGACAGGGCCACACTATTACACATACATACATTCAAATTAAAAAAAAAAAAAATCAAAGTCTAAAGGCTAAAGAAATAGCGGTGAAACATGAAGAACAGAAGAAGTGTACCTGTCCTTTCATGGACCGTGGGTTATTGCGGTGGCATCTTCTTGTCATAAATGTTAGCGACAAAAATTGCCCACAAGTAATTTTTTTTTATTTTATATATATATATATATAATGACCTTTGTCGGAGTGTTTTAAGCCAAGTAGCGTTAGTTGTGTAAAAGTGATATCCAGAGAAGGGGAATCGAAACCCTTGAACCTTTTTGCAGTCTTGCTAGCAAACAAATGCTTACTTGGTCTAGTCTTTTTCAAACTAAGTTGCGACCTCCAAATTGGTTGATTTGGAGCTTTGGCGGCCACAACAACGGCGCTGCGCATGGATGGCGCTTCAATTATGAAAGCTGCATTCCGGTACCCCTTGTACCACTTACCATACCCATGGCCATGAGAGGCTATGATCGTTCAGAGGCGGACACCACCAGTTTTTTATTTGAAGACCAGTAGTACAATAATAAAAAGGTGTAATGTGGTACAGTTGGTTCTCGTAATTATGTTAGGAGGCCACAATCGGTCATTTAACAAAAGAATTATATAAAGATGAATATCTCGGAAGAAGCTGTCCCTATATCCTTTAAGAACGCCTTAAAAGACAATCACGCTGGCAAGCAGGAATGTCATCATAAACATAAAGAAATCATACCTTATGGGAACAATTATAGAGTGGTCCTGGAAGCCCATTGATGGTGTAGGCGTCGGAAACATTGGGGCACCCCCTGTCTGAAGAGCCTGGCTGATTACGGCTTCCGGTCTGCATTCCACCATTCTCCTGAGAACCAAGAAAGAACATGTCAAGTCTTGCATCAGAGTAGAAACTCCCGAGAAATTAACAACCAAATTGCATGCATGAGCAAATTATACACTAGTTGTTTATATTGCGCCTGTGGCTGATTACCAAACATAATGGGAACTTCCTTGTATGGCTTTTCAAAGGGGTAAGATTCATTGCGCCTGGGGAAGATGATAAGCGGTCCGTACACGGTGGACCTGAGCCAAGAAATGTGGCATGCCAGAAGAGAGTGCCTCTGTGCCCCGTCAGTGTGAAGTTGTAGGTGTATGTGTGGCCAGTTTGAATCGGGCATTGGGTTACATATGCTGGTCCATCAGCCCAACCGGTCCTGAGTTGCCGGACTCCATGCCTTCTTGTACATCAATCAACAAAAACCATACATGCTTTGGTTACGTTGCATTTCCCCTTTTCAAATGACTACTGCACGTTTAATCAACGTACTAGCTAACACGTAGTTTTAAATGAATAATTTGTTGGTGTTCTTTTGCCATACCAGTGAATGGTTATGTTGTTTGCTACATGGTTAACCACCTTGATGATGAGTTGATCACCTTCTCTTGCTACCAGGCGAGGGCCTGGAAATTGCCCGTTCACGCTTACAATGCTCTTGGTGTGGCACAATCTGGTCACATTGTGCTGTACAATCTACGTACCATGCATGAACGAAAACATAATTAGCCCCAGCAAAATTCAAGAAAATTATGGTTTGACGTACATTGCACAACTCAGAATCAGTGAAGCTAGAAGGTTCTTTCAGCTAAATTTCGTTACATAAGACGTACATTGAACGTGTAGTGCCTCGTCGCGCACAGTGCAGGCTTAGGCAACAGAGATACGACACAGCAAACAAAGAATAGGATTGCTAAGTAATGCGGCGGAGAAAAATGGTGGAATGCCATTCTTCCTCTCATTTAACAGATGGAACTGGAGGTACAGGAGTGAAGATGGATTTTGAGCCGCTCAGCTCCTCCGAATTGAAGTGCGCATGTGTGTTAGAGATAGGTGCTCTGGAGGGTTATTTATAAGGAGCCATGATTTGAGTTAGTGTAAGATTACCTTGGAGATTCAGAACAGGAAAAGAGGGTTAAAAAAAATACATATAAATTTGGAAAGTTCATGGGGTTAATTATTTTGCAGTTGAGATGGTCATCATCTTGTCTGCTTTCCTTCACAGTTGGTCATGCTGAATTTTCGAGTGATGATAAAGTAAGGCAATAAGACATAGATTTCTCCCTCGGGTGCTGTCAGCTGGTCCTTGTAACCAAGACGATTTTGCTCTCAAATTTACATGTTAATTCCACAAATTAAATGACTCTGCTCTCTCGAAAACGAGTGATTACCCAAATGCCAAGGTTTAGAGTCAAAAATTTTGAAAATCTCTGGCTACTTCTAGCAACATGGTGTGATTTCGATACCAACCTGACAGGTGTAAATGCGTTTAGTCCTTCTAGATATTCTGCCCGCATGAACGTCGTAAATAGTATTGCTGTGCAGTGCAATAAACTCAGAAGGATTTTTTTGCGGGGTATCAACCGTATCTGTACTCTAGTCGTAACTAACCACGTACGCTTATTAATAACTTTCCTAGCTATGTTACCACGCCTTTGGGTTCTGTCTGTTAATCTACCAATAATATATGGCCGGAATTTAAGTCAAACGCTTTGCTGTAGGAATGCATGACATTCTCGTACCAATAAGTTGAGAGGCAGAGGAATGCTACAAGAGTCGAGTCAGGTGGCCGTTAATTATCAGACTTTATTCCCCAACCATAGAATACTAATATTGTTGTTGGGCGTGAGCTAAAAGCTGATAAGCATTTTTGAGCAGCGCCAAAAGAGCTCGACACATTTCGCCAGGCGAACGTCTTAGAGACGAATGCATTAGGCCTACCGGTTTCAAGAAACAAAAAAAAAAAAAAAGGCAGCCAAAGAATCTGACTAGTGATTGGCCGGATCACTTAAAAAAGGGTATTCCAAGGTTGTATATTCAGGCGAAAATCATGAAGATTCTCAATTCAGGAAAGCATTTTAAATTGAGGTGAGAAATGCTTGAAATGATCAGTTACTAAAAAAATACAACTAAGCATTTTACTATTTTATCTAAGTAAGGTCATTATGATATATGATTCTTCTATTCTGCGCCCTTACATAGCATAAGAGGTGGGACTGACTTAGCTTTGTCAACAGAACACAATAATATATTTGGTTTGTAAGTTATTTGGGATATTTTTACGGTAGCATTTTTTGTGACGTGATATATGTGAGATAAAAAGGTAATTGGGAAGATAAAAGGGTGTATTGGAAATTGTAATGATGATGCAAGCAAATAAAATTAGGGAAATAATGCTCAATCCAACGCAAACTCTTAGGAAAAGAAAAAGAAAACCCCCACGCAGAAGCAGAACTCTCCCTGTCAAAAATGAAATACAAGCCATGGTACGATGAGAATACGAGTCTATTATAGCGTCGGCCTGTTGGATAGGGACGGTGTGCGACTCTGTTCCATCATGATCGGATCGTTTCCAACCTCCCTGCCACCACCGGCTCTTTTTTGATAAACAAATTTGTCTTTATGGATACCAAATCCAATTTAACCCCAGAATTAATATGAATGCCAAATCCACCCTGTGTTGCTTTTCCTCTCCCTCCCCTCTTCCCGTTCCCTGAAAAAGAAAGTAGCAGCAGGATTACGTGCATTATTAGCTCCCAAGGCAAGAAAGTTTATTAAGTATTTATCACTTAAGCCCGTCACTTGAATTTTAAGGCCTGCAATAAAGATGTTTGTATGATTAATGTTTTCATTAAACTGGGATGATACGACGGTACATCTTACTGCTATATTCGCTGGTCGGTAGTTGTAGGATGAGACTTTTACCATACCTATCCTTCTTATCTCCTCCCTGTTTAACTTCGCATCTAATGTTCAATCGTACTAGATAAATAGACGCAACGCAACCCTGTTGGTGTTGGGCCACCTTCCTTAGGTAGTTACTTCATGACTAAGACATTCATTTAAACAAACTGTCAATCAAACACTGTGAATAGCAAGCACACTTGTAAATAATCATTATGACATTATTAAATGTGCTACGATATGTGTGGTTTACCTCCATCACTCTTTTTTTTTTTTTTTTTTTACATCCATAAACATCATCACAATTCTTTCAGGGGAAAAAAAACTCTTAACAATGAATATGATCATTCCCCTGAACAGGTTTGAGACAAGGTAATACGAGTACTGATTCCTTCAGCTAAGCTAATACGGCTCCATGAGCGTAGATGCAAATATATTATTGCTCTTCTTGCACGTTATGCAAGTACAAACTGCCGCCATTATGTGGTGTTCATGATTCGGAGATAAACAAAATCAGAATACATCGAAACTCTAATATTTGGTAGAGTAGTTTGGAAATGCATACTAAAGTTAGATTAATCCAAATTCTCGAGTAACTGTGGAATTTCCAATATATATATATATTATACTGTTTCAAAATTGCCAAATAAAAATCGGCCAATATACACCCCTCGCCTCTCGTCGGGACAAGAAATACGACAAAGAAGTATGCAAAACTGAATTTAGGAGTAACACGATCCCAGAATAGAGATTTAGGGTGCAAGCAATAGTAGCAACACTCCGTTGATCTACCTTTGATTATTGGTGAGAGAGAGCGGTGCAGCTGAAAAGGGGACTGAAACTGGATTGCAAGAAATTTGTCGTGAAATTTTAAGTGTGTTTGGATTGTAAGTTATTTGAGATATTTTTACTGTAGTATTTTTGTGATGTGATGTATGTGAGATAAAAAGGTAATTGGGAAGATAAGAAGGTGTATTAGAAATTGTAATGGTGATGTAAGCAAATATA